CTTAAATTCCAATATTTTCATGTAATATGTCATGAAAGTTTCCCAGATGCTGTTGTGTGTTGATTTTTCTCCCAAAGGAAAATAAGCAGCTCATTTGTGATCTCTGAAGAAAGATTAAAAGAATTAAGCTAATATTATTGCTTCCTAATGAAGTTATATTTTTAATAGCGATAAAGAAGCAGGATGATTATGGCCACATGAATCAATAATGAAAATTGGCAGCATGAGTTTTGGAACAAGAGCCTCTCACTGTACTTGGCTGAAAAAAGTGGTGGCTTTACTTTTCTCATATTTTTTGATGGCGCCATTACCTACAACCTTATTTTTATACTAGGAGAGGTAAACTGCCAACCCTTGACTACAATGATGGCTGTAGAATTTCTCTACAGGAGAGTATTAGGGGATTTCCTGCTTCATTTTCATAGCAGACAGCTCATTGTTTTGAGGGCCAGTTTATTTGGGGGGGATGGGCTGAGAGGTTGTAGGGGGCCTAAAGCCCCTGCTCAGCAGTGCCACCACTAAGTATTTCAGACCTTTTAATGAAATTAGAGGGTTATTTTCTGAAGAAAGCAAATGTAAGTCTTTTGTTTTAAGAAAGCAAATAGTATTTTAAAAAAAACAATGAGGCAGACAAAGCTAACTTACACAAAAGACCATCTCTTTGAGGTTCTTTTATTATATGTATGCAAATGGTGCTACAATTGTGCATCTTGCAAATGGTTTATGCCTATTCTTCAAAGCAGGCTCAGCAAGAATTTTTATATGGCAACCTGTTCAGCAGTTAAAGTTAGCTTAGGTGCTTTAAAGCAATTTCGCTAAATTAAATGAATGTCTAAATTTTACCATTTTTTAGGAGAAATGCATGTCTTCCCTTTTTTCCCCAATTAGTCCAAATTAGTGAGATTTTACTATGTATTTCATTCTAGTGCTGCTGTAGGTACCTGGTAAAGGAGTAATTAATGTTGCACATTAGGTAAGAAGCAGCAATTGATTTTTGGTTCTATTTGGCTTATCTTTTCTGCCTAAGTGCTGATATTTA